CTCTCTCTCTCTCTCTCTCTCTCTCTCTCTCTCTCTCTCTCTCTCGCTCGCTCGCTCGCTCGCTCTCTCGCTCGCTCGTAGCGTCGTAACAGCTTCAGGGCGTCGACATACGGCACGCGAAACGAAAAACGAAACGAGTGCATCTTCCGTCAAAAAGTTGCCAGGTTCATCGCTTTGCTATAAACAGTAACGACTGTATTGTGTCACCTCTCGTGGGCAGATGCACTCGTTCCGTTTTTTCGTTTCGTTTTTCATTTCGTGTGACGAGGCCCTCACACATCCAACATCCTTCGCGGAAGTGCGGATCTGTATGTCGTAGTTTCTTTGCTCGTCCTCCTCTTCGGACGCCCTCACACGAACACACATGGTTTGTCGACGAAGACACACACACACACACACACACACACACACACACACACTCACACGCACACGCACACACACACACACACTGTTGTGGGAGTGCAGGGTGGGTCGAAGGAGACATGGCTGGTTCCAGTGACCGTTCCGGACTGCAGTGCATTGGTGACTGGGGATTCACGCCCGATTCTGAAGTCCAGGAATCGGACGGTATGCAGATCCCCTCCTCGCAGGTTGACCTAGCTTTTGGGGGGAGGCGAATCACCGCTGATGACGGTGACGAGGACCAGYTGCGAGAGCGACTCCGCCTCCGTGCCATGGATATGGCTGGTGAGCAAGGTTTCTACAGTCCTCTGACGTCTAGTCAGCACCCCTCCCCTCCACGGTTCACATTTGCACCTAATTATTCACATCGTTGTGCAGATCTGCCAGACACGCCTGAGGCCCAAAGAACTCTCGTGGACTGCCCTCTCACCCCCCTGCACAGCACTGCATCTGCCCCTGCTGCCACTGGCTCACCATCGGTAGCTTGCCATTCCACTCCARCATCGGTGCGCAAGGGTGTCACGGGCATCTCTCCATCACTGCAGCAGGAGACTGGCAAGCCTTCCACGTCTCCACCTGTGCGCAATCTGCAGTATGGCAGCCCCGACATTGATGTGCGGTGCCAGCCAGAACCTTCAGGGGAGGCATCTCTACACAATCGAACTTTTCTTCAACGTCTCATCCATGCTGTGGAGGATGATCCATGCTGTGGAGGATGGTGATTTCGACTCCCAGGAAATATTCGTTCAAGGTCTTGACCAGCAGCTTGGCAACAGTGGATCCACGCCACCTGCAGTACGTGGGATGCCTGACGAGGGAGGAATGCCTTGCGGGGTTGACATTCGTCATGTGGATCAGACGAGCACAAGGCATGATGTGCTTTGTTCCGAGCTGGGCAATGCTTCTGGTGGATCGAAATCCATCTCGGTCGGTAAAGCAGTGGCTGAAGCTGCTGCACCTGCAGTGGCTGAAGCTGTTGCACCTGCCGCTGCAAGTGGATCGGTTGATGGTGGCAAAAAGAAAAAGGTTTCCAATCGATGGGGGGAGATGGAGACGACAATGCTACTTAGGCGTGTGTACGAAGTGAAAACAAATATGGGAGAGAACTCCGAAGCCATGGGGATCGCTCCCTTGAAGCAGCGTTTGTGGCGGGACGTGAGTGAGAGAATGAAGGAGGCACGGTACAATCGAGAGGACGAAGACTGCAAGAATCGGTTTCACTCCGTCTGCAACAACTACAGGCTTGTTAAAGATCACAATCGGTGGTCGGGCAACCAGAAGTACTGGTCCATGGATCAGGCGACACGCAAAGCAAATAGCTTGGACTTCATGATGCGCAGGGATTGGTATGATATTATTAATGTGCATGAGGTAGACAAGGACACCATTAATCCAAACAGTCTGACAGACCCCGGGGCCGGCGAGCATAACATGGACAACGTACATGACACTGATGTGGAGGTTGGTGATGATGATGCTGAGGAGGAGGAAGCAGTGGAGGATGGATCGGCTATAGGGGGGGGGTCTCACACTGGTGGATCTGGAGGGGGGGCTGAACCTCCCTTATATGACTGTGCGGGAGGAGGGGCGGGGACTTCCGTCCCTGGTCAAGCAGGTGCGTCGACATCAGCGTCTGGAGGGTCGACGTCGTCCGCAACCGTGACTGAAACTTTAGGCAGGCGGAAGAGGTGTCAACAGAATGCACGTGAGCTAGCTATGCGTGCCGTGACAGAGGCTATGCGTGATCACACATCGGCACAGACGAGATCCGACATCACGCACCACCAGATATTGCGTGAGCAGCTGACTATACAAGATAGAGCGGCGAAGCTGACATGCGAAGTGATGCGTGAGGATATTGCTTCTCGTTCAAGCAATTCCGAGAAACTGGGGGAGAGATTGGAAAAGGGCTACGCAATCCTCGCTGATGCTATTTGCAGCTTGGGCAGGAAGAGGGCGAGATCTCCTAACGCTGAAGAGGACGAATGACGTCGACATACGACACAGTAAAGGAGTTGTTATGAACATCTTCACACCTTGTATCGTATAGCAGCGTCCTGTGGCGGGCAATAAGATAGACATCATGCCGTACATCTGACCCTGTACACCATCTGGCAGGCGAGATAGATCCCTCCTTTCTGGTTTTCACTTCTGTTTTCTTTTTATTTTTGTCGAAGGTGCCCGCCAAGGTCTAGAGGTTTTTGGTGCATT